TATATATATATATATATATTGAATAATCATAATCATGAAGGCATAAAAACTTTATTAGGGGCATTGGAATGCAGGCGTCGATTAATCCCGCAAACTTTTTGGGTTTTTTATCGTAATTGATGACAAACAACTTTCTATTTTAGCTAAAAATATATTTGGTATATTTGTAATATTATAATAATATATACTAACATAAATTATTTGATTATTTCTAAGCTCCCGCTAAGCCGGCTTAGCTAAAGAAGTCTCGCCACTTCCTATTTAGAGAAGGAAGTTGGCGCAAATAATTAAGTACATAGCAATGTGCACTAATCAAATTGGTTGCACTAATTTTCATGCACCAATAAAAATTAAAAATAATAATTATTATTATTATATTTTAATTTCTGCTCATTGATTCAATAAATTATTTGTGATGTATGTATTTATGTACTGATATGCACATAAGACTATATGACATTACTCATAATTTTATGACTTTCAGGGAATTTTTAATTGATAAATGGCTTGAGATATATATTATTAATTTTAAATTGTTTTTACGGCTTATTAACAAAGTATTGCAATTCTCATGATGATTTTACAATTATTTAAATGCTCTGTCATGCTTGAAAATTATTTTTTGATTGTGTATCACAATGCTTTGAAAATGTAATTTATTAAGAAAATTTACAGGTTAAATTATATTTTGTTAAATCAACATTGTGTAAGAGTCTGTCTGTAAGAATGGCTAAACTTAACCCTAATCAGCCCATTTTTAGAGTTAATTATAAATAAAAACTATGACATATTCATGCCCAATGCATTTCCTTGGCCATGCCTAGATGCTATTTTGCTAGCTAGTAATGAGAAGACCATGTATCACTTCTCATCATTCTAAAAAATAATAATAATTAGGTTTCTAACCTCTAAAAAAACACACACGATAAAATCTTATAGCTGATTGTACGGATTTGTGAATGAAGACGTGAATCACACAATGTCGTGTGCACTACGACATGATGTAATCCATGTTATCGTTCGTACATCCTTATATGACACATGTAATATTTTCAAATATGTACTAACTAAACAGTTCATTAAATTAATAAAGATTCCACAATTACATAGAAATCTTAAGAAAGCAATACAAAATTGATCATAAGAAAGAGTCATATGAAATGTCACATATTAGATGAGTCAAAACCAAAACCTAGAAAATAATAAACAAACACAAATCAAAAGGCTGTCATTTAAAGTCCCTAATAATTATAGAACGAGTGCTTAATTTCCTTTCACTATTTC